ATAGCAAAACCATACAAAATATTCCAGTGTTAGTCCCACTTGCATGACAGACACAGTTAAAAATCAGGTCCCTACCACCTACTCACTGCTTCCTTGCTTAGGCCCCCAACTTGCTTTCAGTGGATAGCCCTTATGCTGAAGACATGGCTGGCATTTTCTTTTTTCTTTTATATACAAAATGTACCTGACTGTATTAAAATTCATTTTGTTTCAAAGGATCCAGCTTGCCAAGTGAATGTTTGTGTGACTGCCTTGACATCTTAATTTACCTATTTACCAGTGATACTGGTGATCACTGTATCATCCACAACTCTTATCAGCAGAGATTTTATATTTACTGTTAGATCACTGATGAAAATGTCAAATCGTGCCTCTTGCTTTTTTCCCTTTTAGGACCTCCTCCTGGGAACACTTATTTTATTGCTGTATGACAAGCGTGGTTCAAATCACCTCAAGGTATCCATGGAAAATATCACCCAGTTCTTTATCCTGGGGTACACCTTAGTCATCATATCATGCAGCAAGGGGAAGAGACCCTCTGTGAGAAAAGCCCATGTGTTATCTTCACATAGAGGCCCACTAAAATGAATACCACAAAACTGGAAAGCAGGAGAACACCTGTTGTGCTGCACCTGCACCTGTATTTCCTGCAGCTCAGGGGCACATCACATTCACTTCAAGCCTGTCTCCTGCTAAGTTCCTTCTGCTGCTGTTCTGGTTGCATTTCTCCTTCACCCCTTTGTTTTTAAGCATCCTATGAGTGACTCTACTAAGTCTTTGGGCCTCCTTGTATATTTGCTCCTGGCACTGAAAGCAGAAGTTTGTTGGAGTATGTCCCAGATTCTTGGGCTATGCTAATGTCAGGAAAGCTTCACTAGGAGATGTCTAATGACTAATTTTTTTATGTTGTATGATATGAGTAATGACATTGTATGTTCATTAGCCTTGATGGTAGCTCACAACTCCTGGTGATCAGTCTCCCTACTCTAAACAGGAACTGGGGGAGAAAACACTATTGATGAGGCCAAAATCTATTCTAACAGGCTTCTGATTCATAGAGATTAGGGTCAGAAGGGACCATTATGATAACTTAGTCTGATCCCCTGCATAACAGTCTGTAATGCATGCAAAAGAGCCATATGATTGCTCAGAGCTCCAGTGTGAAGCTGGAGATAGGCCTGTTGAAAGTCTCTGGGTGAGGGTCAGAGCGGACAGCAACAAGGGTGATGTTGTGGTGGGGGTCTGCTATAGACCACCAGACGAGGAGGAAGTGGTGGATGAGGCTTCAGCTTCAAACAGCTAACGGAAGTTTCCTGATCACAGGCCCTGGTCCTCATGAGGAACTTCAATCACCCTGACATGTGCTGGGAGGGCAATACAGCAGTGTGCAGATGATCCAGGAAGTTTTTTGGGAGCATTGTGGACAGCTCCATGGTGCAAGTGCTGGAGCAGCCAACTAGGGGCCATGTTCTTCTTGACCTGCTGCTCACAAACAGGGTAGAATTGGTGGGGGATGTAGATGTGGATGGCAACTTGGGTAGCAGTGACCACAAGATGATTGAGTTCAGGGTCCTGAGGAAAGGAAGGATGGAGAGCTGCAGAGTAAGGACCCTGGACTTCAGAAAAGCAGGCTTTGACTCACTCAGGGAACTGGTGGGCAGGATCCCCTGGGAAGCCAGTCTGAGGGGGAGAGGAGTCCAGAAGAGCTGGCTGGCTACTTTTAAGAAGTCTTACTGAGAGTGCAGGAACAAATCATCCCAATGCGTAGGAAAGCTAGCAAGTATACCAGAAGACCAGCTTGGCTTAGCAGGGAACTTTTCAGTAAACTAAATTACAAAAAGGCAGGTTATAGGAAGTGGAAACTTGGACAAATAAGTAGGGAAGACTATCAGAGCATTGCTCAGGCATCCAGGGATGAAGTCAGGAAGGCCAAAGCTCAACTGGAGTTGCAACTAGCAAGGGATGTGAAGGGTAACAAGAAGGGTTTCTACAAGTATGTTGGTAGCAAGAGGAGGATCATGGAAAGTGTGGGTTCCTCACTGAATGGGGAAGGGAACCTTGAGACAGAGGATGCAGAAAAGGCTGAAGTGCCCAATGCTTTTTTTGCTCTAGACTTCACAGGCAAGGTCAGCTCCCAGACTACTACACCGGGCAGCACGGTTTGGGGAGGAGGTGAGCAGCCAACAGTAGTGAAAGAACAGGTTAGGGACTATGTAGAAAAGCTGGACGTGTACAAATCCATGGGGCTGGATGGGATGCACCCGAGAGTGCTAAGGGAGTTGACTGATGTGATTGCAGAGCCATTGGCCATCATCTTTGAAAACTCATGGTGATCAGGAGAGGTCCTGGATGATTGGAAAAGGGCATACATTGTGCCCATATTTAAGAAAGGGAAAAAGGAGGATCCAGGGAATGACAGACCAGTCAGCCTCACCTCAGTCTCTGGAAAAATCATGGAGCAGATCCTCCAGGAATCCATTTCTAAGCACTTGGAGGGGGAAAAGGTGATTAGGAACAGTCAGCATGGATTCACCAGGGGCAAGTCATGCCTGACCAACCTGATTGCCTTCTGTGGTGAGATGACGGGCTCTGTGGATGAGGGAAGACCAGTGGATGTGGAAGACCTTGATTTTAGCAAGGCTTTTGATACAGTCTCCCACAGCATTCTTGCCGGCAAGCAAAGGAAGTATGGACTGGATGAACGGACTGTAAAGTGGACAGAAAACTGGCTGGCATGTTGGGCTCAGAGAATAGTAATCAATGGCTCAATGTCTAGTTGGCTGCTGGTATCAAGTGGAGTGTCCCAGGGGTCAGTCCTGGGGCTGGTTTTGTTCATGTCTTCATCAATGACCTGGAAGATGGCATAGAGTGCACCCTCAGCAAGCCTGCAGATGACACCAAGCTGGGGGGGAGTAGTAGATATGCTGGAGGGTAGGGTTAGGATTCAGAGTGATTTGGACAATTTGGAGGATTGGGCAAAAAGGAATCTCATGAGGTTCAACAAGGACAAGTGCAAAGTCCTGCACTTAGGAAGGAACAATCCTGGTGCAGGCTGGGGCTGACTTGCTGGGCAGCAGCTCTGCAGAAAAGGACCTGGGGGTTTCAGTGGACAATAAGCCAAATATGAGCAGGCAGTGTGCCCTTGTTGCCAAGAAGGTTAACGGCATACTGGGCTGCATTGGTAAGAGCGTTGCCAGCAGATCAAGGGAAGTGATTCTTCCCCTTTATTTAGCACTGGTGAAGCCACATCTGGAATGTTGTGTTCAGTTTTAGGCCCCCCACTACAGAAAGGATGTGGACAAATTGGAGAGTCCAACGGAGGGTGACAAAAACGGTGAGGGGGTTGGGGGACATGACTTGTGAGGAAAGACTGAGGGAACTGGGCTTATTTAGTCTAGAGAAGAAGAGAATGAGGGGGGACTTAATAACAGTTGCCTTCAACTACCCGAAGCGGGGTTCGAAAGAGGATGTAGCTGGGCTGTTCTCAGTGGTGACAGATGACAGAACAAGGAGCAATGGGCTCAAGGTGCAGCAAGGGAAGTTGAGGTTATATATTATGAAAAATGTTCTCACTAGGAGAGTAGTAAACCACTGGAACAGGTCACCCAGACACGTGGTGGAAGCGCCATCCTTGGAGGTTTTTAAAACCCAGCTAGACAAAGCTTTGGCTGGGATGGTGTAGTTAGGGCTGGTTCTGCTTTGAGCAGGGAGTTGGACTAGATGTGACATCCTGAGGTCCCTTCCAACACTAACTTTCTGTGACTCTATAACAGGGGCCACAGGACTTCCTAAATTAAGTTGTGCTTCAGGCCAAATAGAGGCAAGAACACAAGAATGCCTTCTAGAAAAACAGCTGTGTTAAAAAACTTTGTGACAGGATCCACCACAGTCCTTGCTACAATGTTCCAATGATTAATTGCCCTATTAACAATTTTTGCCTTGCTTCTAAAGAGAATGCGTCTTGCTTCAACTTCTAGCTGTTCATTATTTGTATGCCTTTTCCCATTAAAGAGCTTTGTATCATCAGTTTCCTGTTGACCATGTACATATTTCAGGACTGCGATAACTACTTTAGCTTATTAAAAAGCAGCTAAAAAAATGGAACTCCTTGATTTTTTTCACTCTAAGGCAGGTTCTCGAATCCTTTAGTCAGCTTCTTCTCTGAACCATCTCATTTTTCAACATCCTTGTTGAAATGCAAACACCAGAACTGGACAGTTTTCCAACAGCAGGGATAGCAGAGGTCATATAGCCTCACGTACAGAGGTAATGTATAGGAGAGGTGATAGATAGGAGAGGTAATATAAACTCACATAGAGAGATAATATAACCTCTCCACTCAAAATGGATATTCCTATTTATACATCCATGGACTAAGTTAGCTCATTTTTCCAAAGCATCACACCAGGAACTAAAGTTCACCGCAGTCATCCCAGAGTCCTTCTCATCTTGTAAGGCCATATTGAACAGCTACTGTTTCTCTGATCCTGCTTACCAAACAATCCATCTTCTTCATATTTCACCACTGTCCCAATCCTTGTGTCACCCGCACACTTTGTCAAAGTTGTTACTCCAATACATCAATAAAAATGGTAAGCAATGTAAGGCCAAAAACCAAACCCTGAAAAATACCATCGAAGGCCCCATCCACTTGTCATCGACCACATTTTTGAGGCCTACTGTTTAATTAATTTTTAATCCATTTAATATGTACCATGTTGATGTTGTACTATCCTACTAATCTGAATAATGAAAGCGGTAAAGGAATTAATCATCTTCAGAAAATGCCCAGGTTCGGCATTCTGCTTCATACCCTTATTACTGCCGACCTAAACGGCTGATATAGCAAGAATCACCTTTGTACGAATCCTCCAAAAAAGCGAAACGTGCCAAAACACAGGATAGACTATGAGACAGAGGCACAGAAGAAGCATTTATTCTGGAAACCGGAAAACGTATTCGTTTTGTTAGGATTACAAAACGTTATTTTTCGTTCCGTGATCATCTGTCGTTTTTTGTTTTTTTTTTCTTTCTTTCATGAAGTTTCCAAAAACACAAAGCGAGAGGTATTACCTTTGAATGAAACAGTTAGTTTTGGGACTATCTTCTGATGCAAGGGCCAGTTGACAGGTATGTTTGTAAGATAACCTGTGTCCAGGGTAAGTCGCGCGGGTGACTTAGAAGCACTCTCCTCCGAATCGCAACGAAGACCGTGTCTCCGCCGAGTACGAGGGGCCACCGTGTTGCTCTCTGCGTCTTCCTTGAGATGCACGACTGCTTGTTCCCCACTGAAAACGTCTGGCAATATTTCTCAGGCGAGGTACGTCAGCGAAGCGGCAATTCAGATAAATGCCTAGCTCAGTCGGTCCCGCAGCGCAGACTGGCGGTGTGTTTTCCCAGCTTCCGATTCTCCCCTGTTATTCAGTGCTGAATTCAGGTGGCGGCGACGGTGGTCGCAGGAGTCCTCTCTTTCGGTTTTAAATCGTGCTAGCATCCTTCGAAAAGGCACTGCCGTGCGAAGGATGGCGGTTATCAATAAAGGTCATCCGCCCCGGCATCCATCCGCCACCCGTCGTGTCGGCGGCGCTTTCCGCAGGGGGCGCACGCGTGAGGAGAGGCTGTTGTGAGTCTGGAGAAATGAGCGGGGAATTGAATAGCCCAACTCCACTTCTTCCAGGCCAGGCTGAATCCTTCCCTATTCGGATTAATAGCACAGCGCCAAGAGGACGGAGCTGGACTGCTCTCAGTGCGGGCGGAGGACAGAACAAGGAGCAATGGGCTCAGGCTGCAGCAAGGGTAAGTCGAGGTTGAGAAGGAGGACTACTCCCCCCGCCCCCCGCTGGAGGGGTTTAAACTAGTGAGGCGGGCGTCAACGTCTAACGGACACCGAGGCCCCGCCCCGCGTTCTGTCAGGCCCCGCCCTCTCCACCAACCCGCTTTGAGTCTCACCCAAGCCCCGCCCCCTGCTCCCCTCCCGCCGAGTCCCCGGATGAGCCGCCGTCACGTGTCCCGCCGCGGCGGG